TTTCGGTTAAAACCTCTTGGAGAAAGTCGGCCCTTTTTCCTGTTCCGACTTGCCCTTTGCTCACGTCTATAATTCTATCTTGGCCATCAAAAACTTTAAGTAATTCCTCATAAAATCATTTTTCGAAATCTTGTCCTTTACCCTGGCCCTTTTGTCTTAATACTAGATTTTGAATCTGTTCCTTTTTTTCTGTTAGTTGTTTTTGTAGTTCCTGGTTTTGATTTTGTAAATTTTCTATGGTTTTTCAATGTGTACTCGCAATTTCTTTCTTTTCTTCCTCCAATTTCTTAACTCGAATTGAGTTTTCTATATAGTCAGGAGATTGAAGGTGAATTATTTTTTGCTCGTGATTTTTAATAGTTTCTTTTAATCCTTTGACTTCAGGAAATTCCTCGTAGATTTTTAGATTTTTCATTTCCTCCAACAGTGTTCTTCTATATTTATCTCAGCGCGGGGTAATTTGCTCTTCTAAGGCTTTCCTTACCATTTCACTAATATAATGAAAAGCCTGCTGTTCTTTACCAAAGTCTTCGTCCTTAATGTGTTCTCGACAATGAGGGCAGGGAAAAGTAAAAGGATTTAATTTTTCCCTTATTGCTCTTCTAATTTCCTCTTGTAAAAGTTCGTTAGACTTTTGTTGTAAATCTTGCATAATTATATTTTTTAATTATTTCTTTTACTTAAATCGTGGCCCAAAAACTTTTTTAACTTTTGGCAAAAGTTTTCGAATAATAATTCCTACTATACTGAAAATGAGGACTAATTAGAACAGCTGTCTTGTTAGCAATCAGTTTAATTTGTTGAGATTATCGGAAATTTAGACATCATTTATTCTTTTAAATCAGGCGGTCGGAATGTTGATGCTATCGACTATCGCTTAAATTAGCGGTCATTTCCTCCTCTTTGACTTCTAAGTTTAAGATAATTAAATGTTCTTAGGTGTGAATGATTCCTCTTTTCTTAAATTCATATCACTTATTTATAAACTCTTTTAACTGCTTCTTGAAGATTAGAAGAATGAGTTTCTTTTAGGAATGGATTACCTTTTTTGATTTGAACCAAAGAATTAATCAATTGATATTCAGTGGGTTGCTTTTGTTTGCTCTTATCTCTTTCTTTAAATTGTCCCAATAAGTAGTTGTAAAGCCAACAACAATTTTTTAGAATATTGTCTAACTTAACTTCTTGTTTATCAGTTAATTATAATTTTAGTTATCAATTTGGATTTGAGTTTGAAGTTGTTTTCATTCACGAATAATTTCTATTTTTTCTAGACTACCATCATGATTTTTACTAAATTCTATTTATGCTCAATCCTCCATTGTCTCTCCTGGTAATAACCCAGCACTATTTGTTAAGTCTCGCATAAACACATTCACTCCTGCTCCTATTCGTCCACAATTTCCAAAAG